AAACAATAAATAACTTTATCCTTGATAAATAACACGTAATCAAATACACAAGAAAAACTTAGTTGAAGAAAATTGTATTTTTTTGGAAGCAAGATTTTTTTTTCTTAAGTTAGTTATGGGTCTTTTTATCTTTCTGTACTATGTTTGAAAGTCCACTCTTCTACTACCTGTCTTTCTTGGAATAGGGAGAGGGAACTAAAGGCAGGTTTCAGCTGGCATAGCTTCTTTTGAAGCCAAGAAGTATATCTGTTAATGTTGACATGAGTATAACGCCAAAAAGATTTTTGTTCATTTACAGTCTTGACCTATTTCAAATTTTAGTTCCTTTTTTTTAAACATTTACATCTGGTAATGTTAACATGATAAAAGTAGAAACAAAAGACTTTCGTTGACAACTTAAATTGTACAATTATATCTAATTATTTGATCATTTTCACGAGTTCTACTGCATAATATAACTATAATTAATAGGTTTCACCTCATAACAGAACTACTATTTTCGCATATAATAGAAGAAGTCATATTCTGTAAATAAATTTTTTAAATGAAAATGCGATTGATGACGTGAAATTGTAAAAACAATAGACTCTTGCGAATATTTCCATACGTAAGTTTTATATGCGACGAAAATAATACAAATGGATGATACAAAGATGATTATTTTTACTGATTTAAACGTTTATATTGATAAAATAATAAAAAGAAGATTACGAAGAAAAATGATGTTTGAGATATATTTTTTATTATTACTTCTAAACATAATGTGACTTCTATAATTTTAATAATCTATAAATTTTCTTTTTAACTTTCTGTACATAAAATTTAGTCAAAAAGAAATAAATATGCACGTAGACATATGTAATTTATAGAACCCGAAAATTTGAAAGTTTGTAACTTTAAATGCTATTCAAGTCGAATGATAAAACTTACAATTTATTTTTTAATCATTTCGAGTCCTAAATACAAGGTCGAATATCATGTCGCAATTCATGTCACAAGAAATATGGAGTCTGATTTTCAAGAAAATCGAATCAAAAATCAATTTTATATTATATTAATTATAAATTGTATTTTATATTAATTAGGATCATAAACTAACCCTAAGTTGTAGAAATACAAATCCATGAAATTCAATGCTTACAAAATAAATGGAAAGTTATAGGAAAACAATAATAAAAAATTTTAAAAATAATATTAGTAACAATATTGTTTTTATTCTTTTCTTAGTATTCTTAACAATTTACGAATGTTGATTAATGTGGTTTTTAGAGTTAGCTCATATTATAAAAAAAGATGCAAAATGTTTCAAATGAAATGTCTTGTTTTAAAGAATGCATTCAATGTTCATAGAATATTGACGATTTATAATCAATTATTTTTACTGAAGCATTGCTAAAAATGTAGACGAGTGTAGTTATTGATTAAAAGTTTACCTCGGATAATAATTGAGTATTATAATATCGAGAATCGACAGCTAACGTGGAGTGCTTTGCTTAAAGAGATATGTTCATATCGCTGATGTCGCCTTAAGATCAGTCAGTGGTACGGTATAAAGCCGAGGATTCGTGGGGAAAACGTATTTTGTTGGTCTATACTGAATCAAGACGTGGCAACAGAGCACACGTATATACCACGAGTGTGTAGTATACCATGTACATCTTTCATGCAAGAGGCCACGGCATTGTAAAATTGCCGATTGGCTTCGAGGACATCACGCTATCGACCTCCATTTCGTATTGGCTTTTTTTTTTCAATGTGGATTTGTCGAAACTGGCCACCGTGGTGGTATTGCTCCATCGATATTCTTGTTTCGATATGCTGAAGACATTATAGCAGAGAACAAACGTTCACGTTCGAGCTTTTTTTCCTACGCTGTAAATTATTCTTTTCGTTGAAAATCGTCACGAAGACGTATTATAAAATTGCGATTTACGTGATATTTTTTGTCGAGGTCGTTACGTCAAATATCGCCGCAAAATAAGTAAATAGAAATATGTTTAATTTTCAAAAGACACGCATTTCGATCCTAAGGCAATACATGGAACATGCGAGGAATAATACGTGCACTTAATAATTTAATTTTGTGTTTGTGTACTTTTATCTTCGCGACTTGTTATTGCCGTGTATACCATAGAGCGAGCATAATATATACTATGTACAATAGTAATATTTTATCAATATTTTCAATCTTATAGATTTTCGTTTTGTTGACTGAATACAATTTATTTAATTGTTTTAAACGGTATAAACCTATATCTAAAAAACTTGTATATAAACTTATATATAAAATAGCAAGTATATATTCATTGTATTGTTAATGTTCTGTCTATTTCATACATGACTCGATAGAATTACATACACACATATATTTTTGAACAGCTAGAGATAGAAAAATTTCTATTTCTATTTCTCAGAGAATAATTAAATGGTATTATACAGGTTGATTCATTTAAGCGAAGCAACCTAAATATCTTTGCGAATTGTGATGATACAAAATATTTTTTCACCTAACAGTAATATTTTTTTTCATATAACTACATATTTTAACTATATATTTTTATTGTATCGTGTAGCTAGTAAAAAGATCTTCATAGCATATTACAGTGAATTAATTTCAATTACGAAGATCGATATGTGAAATTGAAAATATCGAGTGTATTAATTTATTAATGTATTAAAAAACGATTTACTTGTAAATAATGTATATTATTTAAAAAACAATTTAATCAGTAAATCAATAAATTATACAGGCGTATTATTTGAAAATTGTTGATTTATTTCTTTTTTTCTATAAATTTTTGTACAAATTAAATATAAGCTAATGTCAGTTTATTCGTTTGAATTTGTTTTTATCGTAAAATCTTATTCTCGCTAAATTTAGCTTACCAGATGATAAATACTAAGAAGTTAGGTGCTAGTTCTACGCAGCTGAAATTCTAATTGCTGCCAAATTTTATTCCGCACGCACTATACTCATTGTCAGTAGCAGTAGGTAATAATGATAATTCAAAAATTTGATCAGTAGTTTAATTCATTAGACAAGAGTATAATTTGAAAAAATTAAAATTACATATTTGATCAAAAGGATAATGTTTGTATGAATCATTTTGATAAATCTATGAATATGCTTCTATTTTTCCATTTAATTAAAAATTTTTATGAAACATGGTGAGACTAATAATTTTTAGCACAACAAGTTGTTCAGGATTTTCAGTTTGTAATATGTATTTATTGAAAAATTGATTTTAAATGATTCGACAACTTTTTTATTCTTGAAATATTTCTTAAGAATGTCAAAATTCCGTTTTTTGACAATGTTTTGTTTATTTTTGATAATTTTTTAATTGTTCCAATGTATATACTGTTCTACTAGTAGCAATATACATAAATGTTATTATTTTAACATTGCATTTGTTATGTACATTCAAAAATAATTTAAATGTTACATTATTTGTTAATACAAAAATATTGAGAAATAGCATTTCAGTCGAGTTCTATTGCGATTTCTCTGATTTATAAAACCTGTTGTAATTATCGACATTGTAGTAGTAACAGTGAAAGTATTAAAATCATTTTCTGATCATTTTAGAATTTCACTTTCTACACATGCCGATCTTCGAATAGTATTTACTATCTTTCTATTGCACCATCTCAATTTAGTTGAAAGACAGGTCTAATAACAGGAAATTTGTGCTATTACATGCTAGATGTTCTAAATTTGAGAAGGATTTACTAGTCTAGTCTAAAAATATTTTTTGACAGTATTGACGGTAGTCGAGATTAATAATTTAGGAAAGATAATTTCCTAAATTATTCCTAGAAAAGATTAATTTCCTAGAAAAGATTAATAGTTTATATCAAATAAATGGTATTAAATAAGATTAATTTAATTATCGGGATACTTATTTCTGAGCATTACTTGATGCTGGAGGCAACACGGTAAGCGAACGTATCTCTTTGTGGAAGAAGAAGAAAATGCCGTAGGTCTGTGATTTCCGCTTGGCAACAGCGCAGCCGGTTGCCTCGTGCTGCCTCGCTGGGTCGAGCCAATGGCGTAATCAGAAGAGGGAAACATACGGCCGCTCGATTCCCTTCTCGAGCATTCACAAAAAATATCCGCAGCAGGATGAACAGGAACTTCTATTTAGCAGTACACTTTTATTTTGCCAGATAATACGTTCATTAGTACGTAAAATCTATTTACAAAACTACTAAGACTGATGTCATTAAGTACCAAACGATCTGAATTATCACGTTACGTGGTTTTATTTATTATTATAAAACTTATAAATACGTAACATCATGAAGTATGTGGAATTATAATATAACAAAATGTTTAGGAATTACTAATATACTATATATGGATAGTTTCTATATACGGATACGATAATTTACTTAATTGAAATGTTTCTAAATAATTAATACACCGCCTTTCAAACTTTTTACTTGATAGTTACTTTTTACTTACATTATATTTAAGAATTTATTTATTCGTGTGTGAATTTAATTCTAAATAAAAAATATAAATTTAAAACAGTTTTTACAATTCTATCGAACTATTCTTTTTTAAATTTTCGCTGTCTACTTGTTGACATTGTTGTACTTGTAATTTTATCAAGAACTGTAGATTGATCAGTTTCATTACCCATATATGTATCTATTTCTTACGCATATTTGCTTCATGGTAGTTACGCTACTGGGTCGAGTATCCTCCCCTTTCATCTTGTCCCCTCTTTTGCTCATGGTATTAGTGGCTTTCACGCTTCTCTCTCACACAGTGGCCTTTGTCTCTTTTTCTTTTTCCAACTTTCATCTCTTTTCTTTTTCTCTTTCTCTCTTCTCTGTGCGCGTCTCTTTTTACTCTCTCTCTATTCCTGTTCGGTGGCCATTTTTCTCCGCTTGACAGAAATTCGGCAACGTTGTGTATATAATATACGCTTGTGCATACACAGAATATCAGAAAGCATTGACAAAGATTAGATTTCGTTTCGTAGTATCGGAGAATGAAATTGAAGTATTTTATTAATTTGAAAACCCACTATGAATGGGTAACGAAAGTTGGAATTTATTTTATAAAGTCTATAAGACGATCCAACACGGTAAGAATTACGCTGCTGTTTGTTCAGATACAATATTGATGTTTAGATATATGCTACACGTTTTTGATGATATTATTGGTACTATGAATTGAAATTATAATGCTTCGCAGAAATATATAAATTAATAAATGCTTAATAAAATTGATTAACATATTATGTAAGGTAGATAATAACATATTATATAATTAACATATTATATAACAAAGAAAAGACAATAAAAGCATGGAAGTTGTGCATTAATTTTTTTTAATCCTGGTAGAATTTATAACAAGTTTGTGCCGAGTTTCTGACTAGTTTGTGCCTGCACGATGTTTTTTAAAAAACATTCAGTGGGTTATTACGTTGCGTAACGGGCCTTAACCCTCAAGCGCTGGAGGCAGCACAGGTCTGGCTCGCCGCCTCACTATTTGCCTCCCTGGCTCTCCCTTCGCTGTGCGGTGCCCCACTCATCGTGAAAGACCCTCCGCTGCTTGCCTCTCTGCGCTTCAACGGAGCGTCCAACGAGTCGACGTTCCCTTCTGTCTGTAGTTTCCCCTCCAGCTGTGAACCCTGGTCCTTCTATACAATTTTCCCATGCCTTCCCACGCTGTGCTTCTCTACATACGCATACATTTGTATACGTACGTATTGTGCACTGCATATAAAACACTCGCGCGTGTGTTCGTTGAAATTGCTTTTTTTACCTTTACAAATTTTTTTCACTATGTCTACTATATTTTTATATCACACGCGAAGGATATATTATGTATATGGCATTATCTAAATTATCTAAATTTGTGAAAGCTATAAACAAAAAAATTTATGTGATACGATATAATTACTATACATATAGTATGATGATAAGTTGTAAATAATTTCCAACGTGGTTCTAGTTTCAAAAGAAAAGTAAGTGCGATTAATTTTAGTTCTATAACAATTGTGGTTTTGTGAATAAAAATACAAAGTCCTAACAAATAGTAGATTAGATTGCCTAGTCAACGTACAAGAACCATAATATGTGAGATTCATAAAGACGCGTCACTTGCATTTCTTGTCCTTTGTCTCTACAAACTTATAAAAGGAAGTTATGTTGTAATAATGTTAATTAAATAGTATCAAATACTTGTAAAAATACAGAATTATTACAATGCTATAAAGTACCGTACATTTCTTAGACGATGAAAAGTAAACAAAATATTAAACATTGAATATTGGTGCACGTAAAACGAATTTTTTTTTATACAAACGCGAAATTTTATTCAGTATGAATTTAATTTCAACAGAATACTAAGAAAAAGTTATTTACCTTGATAATAAAATTAATGATACGTTTCAGTAATTCTTACTGAAAAAGTCTAGTAATTTATTCGATATAAATAATTTAAATATTTATATCGAATTAAATTTACGTGTAGCTATTCATTGTGCCATTCTCGAAGAAACTACTTTCAAAGCCCTGTTTCTCTGATCAGATTAGAGAGCGCTGGTAAAATTCGCCGTCGATCCGATTGAAACGAACTATTGAATAGATAGGAAGTAGATGTATACGAAGAACCGGTTCGTTTGCAACGTAGGCGTGTGATAAATCTGCGAACCTCCATTCGGTTTGGATTTTCCTCGTTATTATTACCTTAGGCAACAAGAGTGGATTCGCAGAAGCAGTGTTACCATATCGGTTACACTGTGAGAAATCATAGTATCATATAATTGTATTTTATTATTAACTTCAAACGTTTTTATGTTATGCATGTTGTTAGGTAATTTACTAATATATTTGAAATATATTGTTACATTATGTGTGAGTACTTGTTTATTTATTTGTTGTTCATGGTAGCTATTATTTTTAGTATTTTAAATCACATTCGTTTCTAAGTTTTGTAATGTGTGTATGAGATTTTATATAATAAAATCCAATGGCACAAATTTAGAGCATGTATCGTCTATTTTGATTTTTGGATTAGATACCTATATAGTTGCAGTATCTACAAATTAGCTTCGAATAGTGCAAATACTGAAAATATGGTATTTCATTTATTGAAATTAAAAATTGACATTTGTGACAAAAGCACTATTTTATACAATTTTAGGATTGAATAAGTTGTTATACATTTTGTTTATATGTTTTTAATGAATATCTCGGTGAAAGGCTAAATTTTAGTCATTGATATTAATATTATTGAAATTTATTTAGGTGGCCATCACATGTAAGTTTTATATTTATCAACTAATTTATGATAAAATAAAATGATATGGAAATATGGATGATATGTTGTTAGATTCAAATATCTAGCAAAGTCTATGATTAATTATTTTTTCCATTCTATGATTCCAGGAACACTACATTTTTTCATATGATATTGAAAACTTTTAATGAATATTACACCATAAGAAGATATATTTGCACTTCTATTTGGAATTCCATTGAGCTATTCTTATTCTTGAGATATTCTTACATTTGTTAATCCTTTAATTTTAAATAATTCGTTTACTAATATAAATACATTCGCATTTGTAGGTATTTGCACTACGTAGATAGACTACTGAAAGTTTCATTAAGATTATTTTATAGGTTAGAATAACTTTTTTCAACTTTCTTACCTGAGTCAGAGTTCCAAAGAATATTATAGCTGTGTAAATATGAAGGATTTTGATAAATTAAGTAATTTAGTCCTGATTTATTTAGTTGGTAATTGTTAGGAATATATGTGGATACTGCAGACTTGTTCGGGTATACTTCTATTATTACTTATATATTGAAAACAATTCATATATCTTTAGATTATGATTATTAATGAATAAAATAAATAAACAATTGGAAAGTTATTTTATTAGTAGGTTGTTGATTATGGTTATTAATGAGTAAAATAAATAAACAATTGGAAAGTTATTTTATTAGTAGGTTGTTGATAAATTAGTATAGTTACTTCCTCCACTAGTGATTTGGATGTTTTAAATTTGTAATAAATGAACTATAATCTTCAATTTTAATTGTTTGATTTGTTTTAGTTCCTTGTAAACACATTTTGCTGTTGCTGATAGTTGTTTATTAAGCAAGCTTTGTAATTGAGGTAAACAAAGGATATGTATGATAATTCTTTAATCTTGATTTCAATCAATTCACAGTCTGTCGAGAACAACATGATGTGTTATCAATGAATTGAGTGATATAGCATTATTGAATATTTTTTAGAGATTTTATCAATTCTGTTTTGTATGTTTCATTCCTTTAGATTTCAACTAACATTTCAGTGTAAGAATAATCATATGCTATATTAGTAAAATTTGCGACTCTAAGTACATCAGTTTCAAAAACTAATTAACCGAACTGATTATTTGAACGGAACATCTGTTTATCAGAATATCTGATTGAAGATCGTTAATTTTGCTCTGTTTTAATTATAGTGCTAATGTTTTCCTTTATTTAATACTACTTATTTGTGCAAAAATGTAAATATTATTTTCAATTTTTCATTAAATCTATGAGGGTACATAATAAATGAAATTTAAAGATATGACACTAATGCTAATATCTTCAAACTGCATTCATATTTCCTCGTCGGCCATAGTCTGTCCACATATATAATTCTGTCGTCTGTATGTATACATGTGTATATATATACACACACACACTTTAATTTTTAGGAAGGAATTAACATATTAAATTTTTTCAGCTGTTTGCACTATTTTTTAACATTGATCTCTGCATTGCTATTTGATGAATGACAATCTCTTTTTTTAAATATTAATAATTTTTATATAATAAATTTATAATAATAATATAATTTTATATAATAAATTTATATATAATAATAAATTTTTTAAAATCCAAGTGAAACTCAAAATTGCTTTGGCAGTCAACGTGTCAACATGAAACATTGAATAATTAAATGTTGAACAACAAAATAGCATCTGTGCAGATCAGTTTTTTACGTAGTAGTTTATTTTAACTAAAAATTGATGAAATAAAAATTATGTGGGTAACATAGATTATCATATGTGGGTAACATAGATTATCCGTATTATTCATAATAATAATCGATATGCGAGTTGTTATTCAATAAAATACAAGTAATTTCTAATTTTCAATTTCTTGTAATTATTGTATATTTTTTATAGTTAATTTATAAATTTTGTTCTTGTGGGAAGAAAATTGTTTAACTTGGTTATTTGCAATAGATTGTAAGATAATGATATAACCGAGCTTTAGCTGACTATAATGATATGCATTAAAAATGAAAATTAGTTTTAATGTTATATTTCGTAATAAAATTCCGAGCCAATATACATTTATAATCAATTATTGTGATTAATTAGTTCATAAATGTTCATTGAGAAGGAAATTCAAAGTATTTACGTATTTACAGTAAATCCCATTAATACTTGGACATTTAAATATTTGAATACTAAATATGGAAACTGTTACAATTTTATGAAATCGTATATTATGACAATTTATAACATTTTCATGGAGGAAAGTATCTTTACTTACTCACCCGTTTCTAAAAACATTTTCGAATAAAATGATTAATACATTTTGAGAGTAGGGGCTTTAAGCTTTAAAATGAGCTTAAGTTTATTATTATACGATTTCTTTTTGCAAAATTGTTTTAATATTTAATGTCCGAATGTTCGTAACAAGATGTACAACCAAGTAGAAACTGATTCTATGTAAAAAAGAAATGAATCAAAAAGAAAGAATAAAATTTTAATTAAAGCCTTCGAGAAGTTTTCGAGAAAATTGAATTTAAAAATTTCATCTAGTATACTCGAATTTAGCTAATTCTAGACGTGATAGAAGGAATTATTGATAGATCTACGTGCGTGACAGGAAGACTTTCAATAGAGTATGTAAAATTAATGGTCTCGATGAATGGCTTTCTGAAATAACGATGTATCGAAATTATGATCGGAAAGAAATTCATGAATGTTCAAAAATATTTACATTTTACTAATGTAGATAATCAATATGGTAATGATGAAAATTGTAAAATACAACCGATTATTAACATGCAGCGGCTGTAAGAAGCATTCAGGAAAGTAATTATGTTATCGTTTATGAAAGTTCGATATTGTGAGAAGATCGATTATTATTGAATAGTCGAATAGTCTAATCACTGGCTCAAAAAAGTATTTAAAACGTGATATACTTACAATGGAAATGGACACCGAATTTCTGAGATATTTTTAAATTTCTATTAATTTCATTAGAATTTAACAATATGCATCTGAAACATATGATTTTATTTATATTATTTATTTATTTTATGTTGTATTTACAATACAATTTCATCACAAGAGTATTCACAATGATTACATTATAAAAATATTTTTGGAATTTTCAGTAAGAAATCGATCCACCTTTCGCGTTTGTCGCTTCTCGAAAATGATTTTCCATGGAAAATACTAACTTTGAAGTAATATTTACATCAATAGATTTCCATATTTCACAAATCTTTTTGCTTTAATTCGTCTTTCGACGTAACTTTTGTAACTCTTCTGTCCACCTCGTCCCAAAAATGTTCTGTGGCACGTGAGTGAGGTTAGGATTGTAGTGAGATGCGATATATGAAGTGTTG